GGAGGTAGGGGTCATCCAAGAATAACAGGAGGGAGGGGAAAGAAGAGGCTTTGGGGATTGAGCATCCAACAGGTTGTGTACACACATTAGACAGGGGGTCTTTAATAGACATGCTGCTGGAGTGTGAGCAAGGCACACACTCCAGCAGCACTCCACACTGCTGGAGTGTGATTGCACCCTCCCACATACACCCTCCCTGTGGGGTGCATGTGGGGTGCAGGGGTGTGGAGGTGGGGTTGTGGGTGTATGGGGTGTGTGGGTGAGTCGAGGTGTGTGGGGCGAGAGTGGGGTGTGTGTGTGTGGGGTGTGTGTGTGTGGGGGTGTGTGTGTGTGTGTGTGGTGTGTGTGGTGTGTGTGTGAGGTGTGTGTGGTGTGTGTGTGGGGGTGTGGGGGGGTGTGGGGTGTGTGTGGGGGGGTGTGGGGGGGTGTGGGTGTGTGTGGGTGTGTGTGTGTGTGGGGTGTGTGTGTGTGTGGGGTGTGTGTGTGTGTGTGTGTGGGGTGTGTGTGTGTGTGTGGGGTGGTTGTGTGTGTGTGTGTGTGGGTGTGTGTGTGTGTGGGGTGTGTGGGTGTGTGGGGTGTGTGTGTTGTGGGGTGTGTGTGTGTGGGTGTGTGTGTGTGTGGGGTGTGTGTGTGTGTGGGGTGTGTGTGTGTGTGGTGGTGTGTGTGTGTTGTGGGGTGTGTGTGTGTGTGGGGTTGTGTGTGTGGGTGTGTGTGTGTGGGGTGTGTTGTGTGTGTGTGTGGGGGTGTGTGTTGGGGGGTGTGGTGTGTGGGTGTGTGTGTGTGTGTGTGTGTGGGGTGTGTGGTGTGTGTGTGGGGGTGTGGTGTGTGTGTGTGGGTGTGGGGTGGGGTGTGGTGGTGGGTGGTGTGTGTGGGTGTGGGTGTGGTGTGTGTGGGTGGTGTGTGTGTGTGTGTGTGTGTGTGGTGTGTGTGTGTGTGGGGTGTGTGTTGTGGTGTGGTGTGTGGGTGTGTGTGTGTGGGTGTGGTGTGTGGTGGTTGTGTGGGGTGTGGGTGTGTGTGGGGTGTGTGTGTGTGTTGTGTGGGAGGGGGTTTAGTCCATTTTGTCCTAGGCACATGTCGATAGACACAGCCTGTTGTGTGTGTGTTGTGTGTGTTGTGTTGTGTGTGTGTGGTGTTGTGGTGTGTTTTGGTGTTTGTTGGTGTGTGTGTGTGTGTGGGGGGTGTGTGGTGTGTGTTGTTGTTTTGTGTGGTGTGTGTGTGGTGTTGTGGTGTGTTGTGTGTGGTGTGTGGTGTTGTGTTGTGTGTGTTGTGTGTTTGTGTGTGTGTGTGTGTGTGGGGTGGGGTGTGTGTGGTGTGTGGGGTGTGTGGTGTGTGTGTGTTGGTGTGTGTGGTGTGTGGGGGTGTGTGTGTGTGTGTGTGGGTTGTGTGGGGTGTGTGTGTGTGGTGGTGTGGTGGGGTGTGTGTGTGGGTGTGTGTGTGTGGTGTTTTGTGTGTTGTGGTGTGTGTGTGTTGTGTGGTGGGTTGTGTGGGTGTGTGTGTGTGGGTGGGTGTGTGGTGTGTGGTGTGTGTGTGTGTGTGTGTGTTGTGTGTGTGTGGTGTTGTGTGTGTGTGTGTGTGTGGGGTGGTGTGTGTGTGGTGTGTGTGTGGTGTGTGTGGTGTGTGTGTGGTGTTGTGTGGGGTGTGTGTGGGGTGTGTGTGGGTGTGTGTGTGTGGGTGGTGGTGTGTGGGGGTGTGTGTGGTGTGTGTGTGTGGTGTGTTGTGGTGTGTGTGGTGGTGTGGGTGTGTGGTGGTGTGTGTGTGTGTGGTTGTGTGGTGTGTGGGGTGGTGTGTGTGTGTTGTGTGTGGTGTGGTGTGTGTGTGTGTGTGGTGGTGTGGGGGTGGTGTGGGTGTGGGTGTGTGTGGGGTGTGGTGGTGTGTGTGGTGTGTGGGGTGTTGGTGTGTGGTGGTGTGTGGTGTGTTGTGTGGTGTGTGTGTGGGTGTGTGTGTGGTGTGTGTGTGGTGTGGGGTGTGTGGTGTGTGTGGTGTGTGTGTGTGTGTGTGGTGGTGTGGGTGGTGTGTGGTGTGTGTGTGGGTGGGGGTTTGGGGGTGTGGTGTGGGGTGTGTGTGGGTGTGTGGTGGGTGGTGTGTGTGTGTGGTGTGTGTGTGTGTGTTGGTGGGTGTGTGTGTGGTGTGTGTGTGTGTGTGTGTGTGTGTGGGGTGGTGGTGGTTGGTGGTGTGTGTGGTGTGTGTGTGGTGTGTGGGTGTGGTGTGTGGTGTGGGGTGTGTGGTGTGTGTGTGTGTGTGTGTGTGTGTGTGTGTGTGGTGTGGGTGGTGGTGTGGTGTGGTGTGGTGTGTGGGTGTGTGTGTGTGTGTGTGGGTGGGTGGTGGGTGTGGTGGTGGTGGGTGGTGTGGGTGTGTGTGTGGGTTGGTGTGTGGTGGTGTGGTGGGGTGGGGTGTTGGGTGTGGTGGTGTGTGTGTGTGTGTGTGGTGGTGGGGTGTGGTGGGGTGTGGGGTGTGGTGTGGGGGGTGGTGTGGGGTGGTGTGTGGGGTGGTGTGTGTGTGTGTGGGGGTGTGGTGGTGGGTGTGTGTGGTGTTGTGGGTGTGGGTGGTTTTGTGGTGGGTGTTGTGGTGTGGTGTGGTGGTGTGTGGGTGTGGTGTGGTGTGGTGTGTGTGGGTGTGTGTGTGTGTGTGTGTGGTGTGTGGGTGTGTGGGGTGTGTGTGGTGTGTGTGTGTGGTGTGGTGTGTGTGTGTGTGTGGTGTGTGTGTGTGGTTGTGTGTGTGTGTGGTGTGGTGTGTGTGGTGTGGTGTGTTGTGTGTGTGTGTGGTGGTGTGGGTGTGTGGTGGTGTGTGTGTGTGTGTGTGTGTGTGTGTGTGTGTGGTGTGTGTGTGTGTGTGTGTGTGGTGTTGTGTTGTTGTGTGTGTGTGTGTGTGTGTGGTGTGTGTGTGGTGTGTTGTGTGAGTGTGTGTGGTTGTGTGGGGGTGGTGTTGTGTGTGTGTGTTGTGTGGTGTGATTGTGAGTGTGAGTGTGTTTAGTGTGAGTGTTGGTGTGTGGTGTTGTGTTGTAGAGTGTGTGTGTTGTGTGTGTTGTTGTGTGTGGTGTGTGTGTGTGTGGTGTGTGTGGTGTGTGTGTGTGTGTGTGTTGGTGTGTGGGTTGTGTGTGGTGTGGTTTGTGTGTGGTGTTGTGAGGTGTGTTAGTGGTGTGTGTGTGGGTGTTGGGATGTTGGGTGTGTGATGAGGGTGTGTGTGTGGATGTGTGTGTGTGTGGTGAGGTGTGTGGTTGTGGAGTGTGTGTGTGGTGGTGTGAGGTGTGTGTTGTGTGTGTGGGTGTGTTTGTGTGAGGTGTTGTGTGTGTGGGGTGTGTGTGTGGGTGTGTGTGTAGTGTGGGTGAGTGTGTGTGTGAGTGGTGTGTGAGTGTGTGTGTAGGTGTGTGTGGATAGTGTGAGTTGTGTGTGGTAGGTGTGTTGTGGTGTAGTGTGTCTGTAGTGTGGTTGTGAGTGATGATTGTGTAGAGGTGTGTGTGTGATGTTGTGTGTGATGTGTGTGTTGTGGTTGGATGTGTGTGTGTGTGTGTGTGTGTGTGTGAGTGTGTGTGTGAGGTTGTGGTGTGTGTAGTGTGTGTGTGTGGGGTGTTTGTAGGTGTGTGTAGTTGGTGTGTGATGTGTGTGTGAGTGTGTGTGTGGTGTGTGTGTGTGTGGTGTGTGTGAGGTGTTGGTGTGGAGGTGTGTGTGGAGGTGTGTGGTGTGAGGTGGTGTGTGGAGTGGTGTGTGAGTGTGTGTGAGTGTTTTGTGGAGGTGGTGTGTGTGGGTGTGTTAGTGTGTGTGATTGTGTGTGTGTGTGTGTGTGTGTGTGGAGGTGTGTGTGTAGGTTGTTGGGGGGTGTGTGTTGGGTGTGTTGTGGATGTGATGTTGGAGGTGTGTGTGTAGTGTGTGTTGAGTGTGTGTGTGTGGAGGTTTTGTGTAGGTGTGGTAGGTGTGGAGATAGGGTGTGTGTGAGGGTTGTGTGGGGTGTGTGTGTGTGTGAGGTGTGTGTTAGGGTGTTGTGTGTGTGTAGGAGGTGTGTGTTGTGTAGGTGTGGTGGAGGTGTTGTGTTGTGGATGTGTGAGGTGTTGTGGAGTGTGTGTGTGGAGGGTGTGTAGGGGTGTGTGTAGGGGTGTGTGTGGGGGTTTGTGTGTAGGGGTGTTGGGTGTAGGGGTGTGTGTAGGGGTGGGGTGTAGGGGTTTTGGGTGTGTGTAGGGGTGGGTGGTAGGGTGTTGTGGGTTGGGGTGGGGGGGGGGGGGTTGGGGGGGTTGGGGATGTGTGGGGTGTGTGGTGTGGGTGGTGTTGGGGGGTCAAGGTGGGGGGGCATGTGGGGACATCAGTGGGGCATGTGAGCATGTGGGGGCATGTGGGAGGCATGTGGGGTGTTTGGGGGTGTGGGTGTTTGGGGGTGTAGGGGTGTTTGGGGTGTGGGGGTGTTTGGGGGTGTAGGGGTATTTAGGGGTGTAGGGGTATTTAGGGGTGTAGGGGTATTTGGGGGTGTAGGGGTATTTGGGGGGGGTGGTAGTGGGAGTGTATGGGTCTGACCTGTATGTGGTTGCAGGGGTCAAGTCAAGCCTCCTTGCCCTGCCTCTCCGCTGGCCACCACTAGGTCCCCTCTCTCCCAGCTTCACGAGCCTTGTTGTACCTCTTCTCAATGCTATGTGTGGATCCTGCCTCTACCATTTCACTCTCCAGTTCATTCTACTCCCTGATAACTCTAACTCTGATGAAATACTTTCTAACAAACCTATGATTCATCTGAGTATTCAACTTCTAGTTCTACCCTAAGGTTCTTGTTCCCCATCTCTCTAACTTTGTCCCTCTTCACCTTGAGTGTGCTGTGCATGCATTGGATGTGCATGTGCATATATGTGTGTGTGTGTGTGTGTGTGTGTGTGTGTGTGGTGTGTGTGTGTGTGTGTGTGTGTGTGTGGTGTGTGTGTGTGTGTGTGTGTGTGTGTGTTGTGTGTGTGTGTGTGTGTGTGTTGGGTGGTGCATGCATGCATGTTTATGCGAAGGAGGGGAGAAGGTGATGATTATATTCACCTGAGCAAGTTACAAGCTGCCCTTGTCCTTGCCGCTCTAAATCAACCACAACCATATCAACGATGGGACCAAGATTGTTGAATGTCTGCATAACAGTCACATACTGGCCGGATGAATCCGCTTCTGTATTCAGTTTAATTAACTGAGAGTCTCCTAGGCGAGACCCTACGAAGACCACTCCATTGTCAAGGTAAGTCAGACACTCGGGAATCGAAGTTTCACCTGTGAAATAATCATTAATGAAACCTAACTGCAAATGCATGCAACTACAATAAACAGCTTCTTACATTCAAGAATTTTTTATTACCATTATTATTTAAAAGGTATAAAATCGGACAAAGTATGAAATAAAATTCATATACAAAAGTTCAGTCTTTTTTCTTTTACCTAGGAGCTCCACCTTAACAACAGCTTCTGCACGGTCATCCGATTTATCCAGTAGCAGCATAAACAGACGACCTGACATGTCTCCAAGGAGATACCTCGAACCATTGGCATCCACCTTTCCGTAACAAACAATTGTGCTTGTCTGTTGGAAATGTACATTAATTGCATTAATATTTATAATGAGTTGTAGGTAAATTTGGGGTGCCAGGGGTAAATGATGTTGAGGAGCCTTTAACTGAGCTATGTGTAGAAAGAGGTTTAGTAATAAGTAATACATATTTTATGGAAAAGAGGATAAATAAATATACAAGGTATGATATAGCACCTAATGAAAGTAGTTTATTAGATTATGTATTGGTGGATAAAAGGGTGATGGGTAGGCTCCAGGGTGAACATGTTTGTACAGGGGCAACTGACATGTCAGGTCATTATTTAGTTGTAGCTACAGTTAGAGTAGGAGGCAGATGGGACAAGAGGAAAAATAACAACAACAAGTAAGAGGGAGGTGAAAGTATATAAACTAAGGGAGGAGGAAGTTCAGGTGAGATATAAGCAACTATTGGCAGAAAAGTGGGCTGGTGCAAGTATGAGTATTGGGGGGTTTGAAGAGGGTTGGAATAGTTTTAAAAATGCAGTGTTAGAATGTGGGGAAGAAGTTTGTGGTTATAGGAGGGTGGGGGCAGGTGGAAAGAGGAGTGATTGGTGGAATGATGAAGTAAAGGGTGTGATAAAAGAGAAAAAGGTAGCTTACGAGAGGTTTTTACAAAGCAGAAGTGTTATACGAAGAGTAGAGTATATGGAGAGTAAAAGAAAGGTGAAGAGAGTGGTGAGAGAGTGTAAAAGGAGAGTAGATGATAGAGTGGGAAAGGTACTGTCAAGAAATTTTAATGAAAATAAGAAAAAATTTTGGAGTGAGTTAAACAAGTTAAGAAAGCCTAGAAAACGAATGGATATGTCAGTTAAAAACAGAGTAGGGGAGTTAGTTAGATATAAGTTAGAGATAAGATAGGTCCCCTTAAAAATAACTATGGGCACCTTACTGACAAAGAGAATGAAATGTGCTTGATTTTAAATAATTATTTTCTCTCAGTTTTTACACAGGAAGACACTAACAATATTCCAGTAATTAATTTTTACAGTGGGCTAGAAGAAGATAAATTATGTAACATCACAGTCACTAGTGAGATGGTTGTGAAGCAGATAGACAGACTGAAGCAAAATAAGTCGCCGGGTCCTGATGAGGTTTTTTCAAGGGTTCTTAAGGAATGCAAAATGGAACTCTGTGAACCATTAACTAATATTTTTAATTTATCTCTTCAAACAGGTGTAGTGTCTGATATTGTGAAGATGGCTAATGTAACTCCTATTTTTAAAACAGGGGACAAGTCGTTACCGTCAAATTACCGCCCAATAAGCCTGACCTCAATTGTAGGCAAATTACTAGAGTCAATTATAGCTGAGATTATAAGAAGCCATCTCGATAAGCATAGCTTGATTAATGATACTCAGCATGGATTCACAAGAGGCCGGTCTTGTCTAACTAATTTATTAACTTTCTTCAGTAAAGCTTTTGAGGCTGTTGACCACAATAAAGAATTTGATATTATTTACTTAGATTTTAGTAAGGCTTTTGATAGAGTTCCGCACCATAGACTGTTAAAGAAAGTGGCAGCTCATGGCATTGGGGGAAAAGTGCTCTCGTGCATCGAGTCATGGCTAACTGACAGGAAGCAGAGAGTGTCCATAAATGGGGTTAAATCCGAGTGGGGATCTGTAACAAGTGGCATTCCATAGGGATCAGTCTTGGGCCCGTTGTTAACCACCAGGCTCTGGTGGCCTGGTGGTTAACGCTCTCGCTTCACACGGTGAGGGCATGGGTTCGATTCCCAGCTAGAGTAGAAACATTAGACGTGTTTCTTTCCACCTGTTGTCTATGTTCCCCATCAGTAAAATGGGTACCTGGGTGTTAGTCGACTGGTGTGGGTCGCATCCTGGGACACTGACCTAAGGAGGCCTGGTCACAGACCGGGCCGCGGGGGCGTTGACCCCCGGAACTCTCTCCAGGTAAACTCCAGGTAATATATATCAATGATCTTGATGAGGGAATTACTAGTGATATGAGCAAATTCGCCGATGACACAAAGATAGGTAGGATAATTGATTCAAACGTAGATGTTATGGAACTTCAGGAGGATTTAAACAAACTCTATTCTTGGTCAGAAAAGTGGCAGATGCAGTTCAATGTAGATAAATGCAAGGTTCTGAAGCTTGGGAGTGCCCATAACCCTAGTACTTATAAGTTAAATGATGTAGAACTTAGCCATACAGATTGCGGAAAGGACTTGGGAGTTATGGTGAGCAGCAACATTAAACCAAGACAGCAATGCGTACGTAATAAGGCAAATAGATTACTGGGATTTATATCAAGAAGTGTAAGCAACAGAAGTCCAGAGGTCATACTGCAGCTTTATACATCATTAGTAAGGCCTCGCCTAGATTATGCAGCTCAGTTCTGGTCTCCGTATTACAAAATGGACATAAATTCGTTAGAAAACATTCAGCGTAGGATGACTAAATTAATACATAGCATAAGAAATCTTCCTTATGAAGAAAGAGTGAAGACTCTTAAGTTACATTCACTTGTTAGATGAAGAATGAGGGGAGACCTGATCGAAGTGTATAAGTGGAAGATAGGTATTAATAAAGGGGATATTAATAAGGTCTTGAGGATATCTCTCCAAGAGAGAACCCGCAGCAATGGATTTAAATTAGATAAGTTTAGATTTAAAAAGGACATAGGAAAGTATTGGTTTGGAAATAGGGTAGTTGATGAGTGGAACAGTCTTCCTAGTTGGGTTATTGAGGCTGGGACTTTGGGTAGTTTCAAATCTAGGTTGGATAAGTACATGAGTGGGAGGGGTTGGATTTGAGTGGGACTTTCACATCAGAGCTTATTTCTTGGGTGGCATTGAAAATTGGGTTGGGCAAATGTTTTGTTAGCGGGATGAATTGTGAAGGACCTGCCTAGTATGGGCCAACAGGCCTGCTGCAGTGTTCCTCCTTTCTTATGTTCTTATGTTCTTATGGGGAGATGGAGGTATTGCGTAGATGGCGAGAATATTTCGAGGAACTTTTAAATGTTGATGAATATAGGGAGGCAGTAATTTCATGCACTGGCCAGGGAGGTATACCATCTTGGAGTGAAGAGCAGGATATGAGTGTGTGGGAGGTGCATGAGGCATTACGTAGAATGAAAGGGGGTAAAGCAGCTGGAACTGACAGGGATCATGACAGAAATGTTAAAAGCAGGGGGAATATAGTGTTGGAGTGGTTGGTATTTTTGTTTAATAAATGTATGAAAGAGGGGAAGGTACCTAGGGATTGGCAGAGAGCATGTATAGTCCCTTTATATAAAGGGAAGGGGGACAGGAGACTGCAAAAATTATAGAGGAATAAGTTTACTGATACTTGGGAGTTGACGTGTCGGCAGATGGATTTATGAAGGATGAGGTTAATCATAAAACTGATGAGGGAAAAAAGGTGAGTGGTGCGTTGAGGTATATGTGGAGTCAAAAAACGTTATCTATGGAGGCAAAGAAGGGAATGTATGAAAGTATAGTAGTACCAACACTCTTATATGGGTGTGAAGCTTGGGTGGTAAATGCAGCAGCGAGGAGACGGTTGGAGGCAGTGGAGATGTCCTGTCTAAGGGCAATGTGTGGTGTAAATATTATGCAGAAAATTCGGAGTGTGGAAATTAGGAAAAGGTGTGGAGTTAATAAAAGTATTAGTCAGAGGCAGAAGAGGGGTTGTTGAGGTGGTTTGGTCATTTAGAGAGAATGAATCAAAGTAGAATGACATGGAAAGCATATAAATCTATAGGGGAAGGAAGGCAGGGTAGGGGTCGTCCTCGAAAGGGTTGGAGAGAGGGGGTAAAGGAGGTTTTGTGGGCAAGGGGCTTGGACTTCCAGCAAGCGTGTGTGAGCGTGTTAGATAGGAGTGAATGGAGACGAATGGTACTTGGGACCTGACAATCTGTTGGAGTGTGAGCAGGGTAATATTTAGTGAAGGGATTCAGGGAAACCGGTTATTTTCATATAGTATGACTTGAGTCCTGGAAATGGGAAGTACAATGCCTGCACTTTAAAGGAGGGGTTTGGGATATTGGCAGCTTGGAGGGATATGTTGTGTATCTTTATATGTGTATGCTTCTAAACTGTTGTATTCTGAGCACCTCTGCAAAAACAGTGATAATGTGCGAGTGTGGTGAAAGTGTTGAATGATGATGAAAGTATTTTCTTTTTGGGGATTTTCTTTCTTTTTTGGGTCACCCTGCCTCGGTGGGAGACGGCCGACTTGTTGAAAAAAAAAAAAAAAAAAAAAAAAGTTTACTGAGTTCTAGGTAGTAGGTTGGTAGACAGCAACCACCCAGGAGGTACTACTGTCCTGCCAATTGAGTGTAAAACGAAAGCTGGTAATTATTTTACATGATGGTAGGACTGCTGGTGTCCCTTCTTGTGTCTCATAAACATGCAAGGTTTCAGGTACATCTTGCTACTTCTATTTACACTTAGGTCACACTACACACACATCTACAAGCATATATATACACACCCCTCTGGGTTTTCTTCTATTTTTCTTTCTAGTTCTTGTTCTTGTTTATTTCCTCTTACCTCCATGGGGAAGTGGAACAGAATTCTTCCTCCATAAGCCATGCGTGCAGTTAGAGGCGACTAAAGTGCCAGGAGAAAGGGGCTAGTAACCCCTTCTCCTATATATATTACTAAATGTAAAAAGAGAAACTTTTGTTTTTCTTTTTGGGCCACCCTGCCTTGGTGGGATATAGCCAGTTTGTTGAAAAAAAATGTTGAAAGAGGGGGAAGGTACCTAGGGATTGGCAGAGAGCATGTAAAGTCCCTTTATATAAAGGGAAGGGGGACAAGAGACTGCAAAAATTATAGAGGAATAAGTTTACTGAGTTCTAGGTAGTAGGCTGGTAGACAGCAACCACCCAGGGAGGTACTACCGTCCTGCCAAGCAAGTGTAAAATGGAAGCCTGTCATTGTTGTACACGATGGTAGGATTGCTGGTGTCTTTTTTTTCTGTCTCATACACATGCAAGATTTCAGGTACGTCTTGCTA